ATCCTGGATCTTGTGAGATAAACAAATCAATATGTTGAAATAAACATTAAATTTGAGCTCAAAAGGATAAACCTCACAATAATAAAAATGGATTTGAACAAATCCAAAGAAATATTTAAACAATTTGATCAACATAATATGCTTTCAAATCTCTTGAAAACAATGATAGTGCTTCCCTTCATTAAGAACATGGCGACTAGAAATTTAGTGTGAACATGAGCCATACATAGAAGAGTAGCAGCAGCTACGCTTAGGACAAACGCGTTATGGCTTGGCTCTTTGCACTCAAATATCCAGAGTCTCAAATGCTTTTCCTGTAGTGAAAAACGTAGAAAGTATACGTAAATCTCATGTTCTATTTCTATATGAAATATCGAACATTATTTAAGACAAGAAGATTTTTAAATCAACCTGGTTTTGAGCCGCTTCAGCTTTGATCCCAAGAATTCCAGCTGTTACATCCAAAGCTACAATTAACAGACAGAGCAAAAATGGCTATCACTTTCATCATTTTTTAAGCTCTAGTGTCTGGGAGGAATTAGAATGTGAAGTGAGTAAAGGAATGTGAAGAGGATAACAATGTGCTTATATACATGAAATGCAGCATTAAATAAATAATTTTTGCAAGAGATGAGATTAGGGTGACTCTCGGAAAGTTTTCTTGTCAATGAAGGTAACTTTATCTGCTGTCTGCGTCTTTATTTATTTATTTTTGCTTTCTTGAGATTCCTTTCATGGGGTTACAAGGAAAGAAGGGTATAAACTAGCTAAGTATGTCCACACTAAATTTCTAATTAGTCCTTAGGCTTCCCATTTACCTGCATGTCATTCTGATAGATTTGGCACTTGGCAGAGTTCATATGGGTCTAATATCAATAGACTGCTAATAACCAATAAAAGAACAGTCATCTAGCTGTCTGCTCTACAATTAGGACCATAAGTCAACTTCCAACTAAGTATAGCTATTCCCATTAAAGCTAATATTTAGATGAAATTTCTCTCCAAATCATTAGCTTAACACCAAAATCAACTTCTCTTACAATTCCATCTCTTAGAAGCTTCATCATTGGAGAGGGTGTGAGAAGTTTGACGCCTTAAAACAAAGTGGTGCATTCTACACCTTTCTCCCTCCTTCTCTTGTGTCACTAGCAAACCATGAATTGACATTGTTAACCTTTCAACTTATTGCTATGGCACACTACAGACACCACAGTTTTGGTTATAATCAATAACCCACACAATTCTGCAGAAACATAAGAAGCTAGTATCATAGCCCTTGTTCAAATTCATTTCTGTGTTAGAAAAAACTTTGATGGGCATTTCAAGAATAAGTTAAATCTTTTATGCTTATACATCTCATCTACATGCTAATAGAAATTCAGATCTATTTCAAATAAATCATCTAGTCTAGCTTTGCATCTCAAATTCCTAACCCCTATGGATATGCATCTTCTTTACTAAAATTTATAGGACTTTCAAGCAGATATTCCACGTGAAAAAAATAAATAGAAAGAAAGAAATTTTTTGAAAGATCTTCTCTAGGATCTGCAAAGATCTTAATGAAGGTGTCAATTGGCAAATGTCAATGGGCAAATGCTCCAGTCTAAACAAATAAATTCACATTCACCCACAGATCCCGTGTGTATGACCTTCAAAATATAGACGATAAATGCTCCAGTCTAAGCTAAATACACTGCAACAAAGTCTTCACATGACACCACATTCCTTTCAGGCATTTAATCAAACACTCTCACTGCATCTCCCAAAACCTCACACTTTATGCACAAAATTAACTGAACCAAAAATTCAAAATTTGGAAACAAAACCAAATCCATATTATAAACTAGATGCAAAACAAAATAAATTCCATAACGATTGGAATAAAAAACCAAACAAATTTCAAACTGCTCGGAAATCACTTACTGGACTGCTCCAACAAGCTCAGCCAATTCCGGACGAAATTGAGGCTGACCCATGGTAGAAATAGATGTGCCTTGTTGTGAGAAATGTTGTGGTGGTGCTTCACGATCAAGAGGGTGGCCAGATGTGGAAGTTACTGGCGAAAAATTGTGACTGCACTCGCGGTTTGGATGGGAATTGGGGTTGTTTCATGCGGTCAATGGGAAGGCGATGGTCGGAGGTTGTAAAGGGAGATGAGGGAGTTCCGGTGTTGTAGGGGTTTGGCGGCTTAGGTGGTGGGTGGTGGAAGTCATTGATGGAAGGAGGAGGTGGAACAGTAGTTGAGGAAGAAAATTGGGGAAAATGGAGAGAGACCCGTTTTCCGCGTTTTTGAATTTTGTGAAGGAAACGCCCAAAACATCTAAAAAGACGTTTTGGCTTTTCAATTGATTATTTTTTTTTTGTTTTCAAAAATCCATTTTCAAAAACGGGAAAGAGAACTCATTTTCACTGTTTTGACCCTTATTTTTTCCCCAATTCCACCCTACCCTACCCTACCCACCATCGCCATCTAATGATGATTCTGCATTGCTGGTTCTGCATTGCTGGGAGTTTTCTTAATTATAACGAGTTTTCTTAATCCTACTTTATTTTCACTCCTGTATGTATATGTTTTTGCTCTAAAATTGCGGGAGTTGGTTTTTTAAATTTGTTTACTCTTGATATGGTTTCTTTATTCAAAATTTCAAACATTTTGATGATTTTTATTTTTGGACTTTTAGGATATATATATAATGATGAAACCAATGGAAGAGATAGTAACAAGTATATGTCGAAAACTCTTTTGAAAGGAAAATGCCATATAAAGAACTAGTTGTGAATGCCCTAGGTGCAATTCAGCGAACCCAATGTTTTGATATTACAACAATTACATCTTGGGAAAACTTTACTGTCATAATGATCGTTCATGTTGGATAATCAAGAATCTGTAAATCGAAGTGGAAGCGTACCTGAATCAAATATGGTTAATTCAATGATTTAGTCATGTGATTTTAGTCTTCCAGTTCAACACGTAGTTCTTTATTTCTCTTTGATGATGGGAGTCAGAATAGAATGAACAATTATTGTGATCCAAGGCCGAGGCCGAGGCCCATTGACCTAATTCGACCTATCATGAAATTAGGAACATGTTGGTCTTTACACATAAATGACCATACTTTAATTAGATGCTTCAAAATCCAAAATATCAAAACCTTATTAGATCACTTTAAACGGGTTTAACCAAAATTGTTAGCTTTTAATTTAATATACAATATTTCACATATAAGCCCACATGTTCGATTAAGATCCTTACAATCTCCCACTAGGGCTATATGTATTACCTTATATTTGTGCATTAGACAAGGACGAGTCTCAGAATTTTTCTATCATTTTCGAATGCATCGCTAAACAATCCAGTCCATCAATCAT